TTGAAAGATTTCAGAATTTATAAAAAAATACACAATTATGATCAGAATAAAGAGTTAATACCTATCTGAAACTTCTTAGATGAACAAAAAAACATTTGAGAACTAAAAGTCATATAAGAATTTAAAAAGTCTTCTTTTTATTGATTAATTATTTGGAGAATTTATTATAATTTATAATATCTTATTTTATAATTAACTTACAGAAACAGTTAGTAATCAAACTAATAAGTGAGATTATTTTGTATGACATAATCAAATTGGAGTATTTAATTCTGGTCATCATTACATTAGTTAAAGATAATATAAATATCTTATTATATGTTTACCATCATTGTTATTTTATCTGTTGCAAGTCTTACAATTACATAAGAGTTAAATGATAGTCAATCAAATAGAACATTCTTAGATTATAATTAAGATGAATAGAGTATGAATACATTTAATATTGTATTAGATCATGAAATGATGCTCACTGAAGTAAATGAAGATAGACATACTGTCTTTTACTTTCATAAATGGAGTAATTTCATAGTTTGGGGAATTTTAGTAGATATTGGATTATTAGCAAATAGATATGGAATATTCTTAAAATAAAGATTAAATCTACACAGTATCATTATGGGATTATGTGTATTACCTACCATGATAGCAGATATATTAATGAGTTTGATTTGGAATCCTCCATAATTTCATGGTAAAGAACACTTGGCTTATTGGCATGCTCCTATTGGATTTGCATTTCTAGGTCTAATGGGATTATAAAGTATTGGAGGTTTAATTTTAAAATTATGTATTGAAAATAAGAAAACTTAGAAAACAATTAAGATTTAATAATTATTTCATATATATATAGGTTATTTCATGTATTTGATTGGTAAAGTTGAATGTGGACTTGGATTCTATGAAGTTTATAATTATTATGTTGAAGATGGAAGATGGAATTTAATTGGATTTTGGATTACTTATGTTTTAATATTCTTTTGGAGAGTCTTTCTAGAATTCTTTTATTAAAATGGAACTCTGTTTTCCATCATTTTTAAAAGTAAAGAAGAGTATTAATGTTAACCTAAAACTATCCAAGATGCTTTATTTGTATAACATGTATTATAAAATGGTAATATAATTAAATTTATATTTTTTAGATTTTTAAAGCATTTAAAGAGAATATAAAGATTAAATGTGGTTTATATTTAATAATGAAATCATAAATCTAACAGGATTTGTTCATCCAGGTGGATAATATATTTGGGAAAAAACAAAAGGAAGAGAAATATCAAGATTTATTTATGGAGGTTAAGGATTAGAAGATGGTAGTTGTCCACCCTTTAAACACTCAGATAAAGCAATTTAAATGATTAAATAGAATACAATTGGTAGAATCAATAATATCAATTTTATTATTTAAAATAACAGCATTTTATAATATAATACAAATTTGTGGAAATTAATTACAATTAATTAAATATCAGGTAAAGTTAGTTATTTTGGTTTTGATAATGAATTTAGAAAAATTTCATCATAATTAACAAATTATAACTAATTTGGAAGGTATTATTAATTGAAAGTTCATTCCAACTCTTAAGTACCAATTAGATAATACACTTGTATTTTGAGTATGGCCCCAGAAAATGTTTAATATAGAAAGTATTTATTAAACTTGATTGACACACAATTACACAATAAAGAATGGGTTGATCATTTTCATTAATAACCAAAATATTTAAATGAACTTCCTTTAATAATAAAGAAGTATGATTCAAAGAATGGATTCTCTTAATATATTCATTAAAATCAATATGAATAATATGAAATAATGGGACCTTATGGACCATCATTATCTTTACCAAATAAAGGCAAAATTGTTATTATATGTGGAGGAACAGGAATTTTACCATTTCTAGATTTTTTGGATTTTCTTTTATAATCAATGATTTACTAAATTGTAGAGAAAAAATATGGTAAATAAATTGCTGATATATTAAATCCATTTGAATGTTAATTCCATACTAATTTACATATTACACTTATATTTGCAGCAGCCAATAAATCAGAATTGATAGGTTCCAATATCTATTTTCCATTATTACACTTTTAAAAATAATTATCCCAATAATGTTTTAAAATGATACTCAAATTGAAAGAATGGACAGAAAATGTATGTTGTGTAAATGAAAGATTTAATAAAGTATTCTTTTAAAAACATATTGGCTTTGTATCATAATATGATAAATTTTATATTTGTGGACCTCCATCAATGAATTAGACTATTCCAAATATATTAAATGGTTTAGGAGTTTAAGAATAAGATATACATTTTGTTTGAATTATTTTATCTATTCATATTCATATATATATTATAACAAATTTTTCATAAAATTAATCTCAAAATTATAAAATATATTATTTATTTAAAAATTAAATGTGGTTATACATAATCAAATAGATACATATATTTGATGTTAATAAATAATAAGAATTCTGTTTGATTTATTGTTTATAAATAGTTTATGATAATAATTGTGTTATATTTTTTTAATAATAATCATAATTTATTTCAATAAATAATGCTCAGTAAGGTGATTTGAATACCATTCCCATAGTCAAAATGGATACAAATGATAGTGAAGCTGCAATCAATTTCTTCATCTTTTCTTTCTTGTAATAAATTATAAAATAAATAATATTAATTTATAAATGTATATTTTTTTTTAATATATACATTTATTCTTATATATATATATAAAATATGATACTATTATTTTAATTGAAGAAAACAAACTCAAAAACAATTTACTATAATTCATTATTTTGATATATGTTTTTTTTTCTTGATTATTAATATATATGATAAAACAAGCTCTCAGATACTAATAGCATCAAGTAACTCTTTTTTTTTCATTCCTTTATAACACCAAACAACATGAACATTAGAATACAACTCTTGCAATCTCTTGATTCTCACATATTTTAACATAAAAGATTTGATAGTTTAATACTCAAATTCATCTGGGTACATAAATACATAAACTTAATCACCTATCTATAAATCAACTAAATTATTATCTTCAATAAAGAAATCTTTATACTCTACTTTCAATTCCCCGATAAAATAATCCAAGGGTAATTCAGTACAATAGATCTTACCTTATGAATAAACTAATAACTCTGGATAATATAATCCAAGATCAGATAAGAAATATTTTTAATACAAAATGTTTAGATTCATTTTCTATTGTTCCTATTTTTATGTATTGAGTAAATAGTTTAATCTTTACAAAACTTCCTATTCATACATAATATTCCACTTCTTTATTTTTTAAATAACCAAAGTATATACTAAAGGTAATGCTTCTGGTAAAGTAATTTAATCTTCTTTTAATGTATTCGTGTAATGCTTATCAATAATATTTTAATTATCAACTATGATTGAACAAGCTAAACTTTCAACTGATTTTCTATAATTAGTTCTCCAATTTTTAGCATTATGATCCTGTGTAATGTTTCGAATGAAATTACTTTTATCAATATATTTCTCCATATAATTAATGACTTCTTGACTCTCTTATAGCTTTTGATTAAACAAACTAGTTATAAGGAATGGACCAAATTTCTTTATAATTGAGCTTGGTGAATCTAATTATTCTGCTTTACCAATAAGCTCAGCTAAATTATGTTTCAAAAATGAAAACTTCATATTAAATAAAAATTATAGCTCATAATCAAAAAATACAAAAGTATATTAGTTATTTTTGTATTAGATTAATTTATAAAATAGAGATTGATAGAATACAAGTTGAATACAAATAGTTATTAAATTTTGTTAAATTTATTGTTAAATAAAAATAAAATTGAATTATAGACAATATGTAGATTAAAGATAAATATGGTTTGATTTATTTATATGTTTAATTTTAGATTATAAAACCTGTAATAAAGGTAATATCAAATAGATTCTAAATATCTTATGATTAATAAATAATTCAAAACTATTATTTATAATTTACAAAATTATAAAATTGGCAATTATGAAATGTAATAGATTTATAATTCAAATTATTATTCTAGAAACATATATTGAGTCATCTCTATATGTACAATTTGAATTAAAAATATCAATTTTAACATTCCTTTTAATTTAAAAGATAATCTACTAATAATAATTTTATTTTAGTTATTAATTATGTTAAATCATTATATGAATTGTTGAAATCAAGAAATTTGAATTTTAAGTGTCATAATAATAATAGAATTAAAGAGAATTAGTTACTATATACGAAATCAATTTTGTAAGAATAAAAATATAAAATAATTAGTTTTTAAATGAGAATATATTTAAGTCATATGATATTTTTACATTTATTAAGGTTTGTTAATATAATTATAATTAGAAGGTTTATTTAAATTTTGGAAATATATTCTTATAATTTTTATTTATCTTTGATTCATAAACTTTTTGAATTTATTTCAATTTAGTTTTATCTAAAATCCATTTTTTCATAAAAATGAAATTAGAGATTTTTTGAGAATATTTATGATAATATATCTTTATATTTTCAATTTTATAAAAATTACTAAAGTTTCAATGTATCAATTATAAAATATAATCGTTTAATTCACTTATTTATTTGCTTCATAGTAAAATATTTAATGATTGCTTGTTTTAGATATGATTATAATCGTATGAATTAATACATAAACATATTTGATATCTCTGATTCATTCATTATTTTATATTTTATGAGTGTTTTATTAATTTTTATACAAGTATTAAAATTCTGAGTCTCATATTAATTATTTTCAGTCTAATTAATAAAAATAGTAATCTGAATAAAATTAAATAATTGTAAATATAACTAAAATGAAATAAGTTTTAGATATCTCCATTTGATTAATTTTTCAGTATACTAGAGACTAAAAGAGGTATAAACTTGAGTACTTTGGAAATTCAAATTAATAAAATTGAATAAAAATGATATTCTTAATTATTTAATAAAAGTATAATGAAAACATTAGGAAAATTAATATATGAGTAATTGAAACATAAATATGATAATGCTAAAACTCGGCAAAACCAGAAGAGATTTCATTATTAAGTATATATTTGAATTTGAGAGGAATAGATAGAAATTGATTGTGGAGAGGTTGTAAATATAAAAGGAATGAAATAGACCGAATTAATTAATAAAATCAACACAGGGTATTTTGATTTAAAGAATTTACTTTTCTATCTATTTTTAAAGTAATTTGAAAGAATAGGGGTTCTAATCTATTATGTAGTGATGATTGTTCATTTTTGCACTCTTTAAATTAAGTACTAATAATTACATATTGAAAGTTAAGAGGATTTAGTTGTTTACATTTTACCATTGTCAATGCACTATGTTTTATAGATTACAAAAGCATTTTATTTTGATTATCGAAAAATGGAATATGATAAGAAAATCAATAATCGAGAAGTCACAAGATACAGAAGATTAAGGAAAGAAATTAATTAAGGTAATAAGTCTTAAATAATTGTATAACAAAATGAAAATTAACTTATATCCAAAGAACCATAAGGTGTAATATCAAAAGCTGAGATATAAAAAAAACCTCATTCAGTTTAGTCTGGGAGAAAAAAAGAAAAATTATAACTATATGAAAATGTTCAATGGTAACAATTAGAAGTAGGTGATATAGTTTATTTAAAAAGAAATGAAGTATGTCCTGCAGATTTATTAATTATTGATGTGTCAGATGATATTGTTGGAATTTCTACATAATAATTAGATGGTTAGACATAAGAAGATGGAAGGTAACCAACATAATTAACAATGTTAAAAAATGGTAAATACAAAGCCTAGGGTTTTGATTATAAAAAGATATTGACAGGTCAAATTTAATTTGATAAAGACTCAAATGAGAATATTTTTGGTTATATCAAATTAAAAAAGGACCCTAAGGGAGAAAATTTCAATAGACAAAATGTAGTAAGGAGAGAAGAACAATTAAAAACATGTTAGTACTTAATTGGGTTGGTATTATTTGCAGGATAGAAATGTTTGTGTTATGATAATTTAAAAATGGCAGAGAAGAAATCATTTTTTGTTTAAAAATCTAGAATGTTTTTTGCACTGACTTTGACCATAAGCATAATAATAACATTTATTAGTTGGTTAGTTGCTTCATTTTAAATGTGTAGAAGTGAATATGAAGGAGCCATGTTTGATAGCATTACATTGGTTTTTTATATGATTCAGTATTTAAAGACAACTCCAATATACTTTTATAATTGTATAGATTTAATCGAAATGGGATATGCTCATTTTAAATATAGGAGATCATAATAAAATAGTTAATTTGATATGAGAATCAAAGTTGGTACTAACATTGGAGGTATAAATAATGAAAATTAATAACAATAATCGATCAATTATTAATAATTGAATTCTGTTTCAATAGGTGATTTAGTCATGACTGAATATGTTTGTTTTGATAAGACTGGAACATTAACATCTGGTGATTTTAGAGTTAGATCAATAATAATAGAAGATATGATGTACAAATTCAGTTAAAAAAAGATACAAAATGGATGGTAGTTGTATAAAGATAATTTAACATAATAGTTGAAATAAAATCCAAATTTTCGAATTCCTGAACAAGAAGAATACTCTGATGAATAAATTGCTATTGATTAATTATAAAAGATAAGAAATAGTAGTTGTAAAAATACAATATAACTAACAAAATCAATAAGTAAATCGTAGAATATGAAATAAAGATCTACATTTTTACATCAGACATTATTAAAAGATGAAGATGCATAAAATAACTTTAATAATAAATTATCAACATTTTAACCATTATAATAATCTGGAATATTGAGTAAGTCAGAATTGGATAGTGCAAATTTTAAAAATTCTGATGGTAATATTTCAGAATTAATTGGACATAATATTGTAGAAAATTTAAAACCTGAAGATTTAGATGATACTCATTGTAAAATTACACCTGAATTGAAGGGGAATAAACCTAAACCATTTTTTAATAGATCAATTATTATTAATTAATCCCTCTCAATTTAATAGTCTCCAGGTTAAAGTCCATTTGAAGAAATTCAATTAGTACCTTAAGAAGAGAAATTATCTATGAATAGTGAAAAATAAAAAAAACAAAGAAGTGATAGTGAATTAACAAAAAAAGAAGATTCTCGTTAAATAAAAAAGTAATCATCTTTTGTTTAGAAAAATAATAAATATTAAACTTAATTTTTTTAGTTTGATGAAGAATAAATTGAAATAGCTTTTTATAAAGATTAAGAATTTTATTAAAAGTTAGTATGTGGATAATCTTAAATGTTTTATTAAGAAGCAGTACTATCTTTATTATTATGTTAAGAAGTAATATCAAAATTTACATAATCAGATGATTAATTTATTCATGATTCAACATCTCATTTGTTTGATTAAGAATTAATTAGATTTGCTAATTTTTTTGATATCAAATTTATTTGTACAAATGAATAAAGTGGAAAAATTACTTATATTATTGAAATCTTAAAAGAGATTCATGAATTCTAAATTCTGGCAATTAATTAATATTCCAATTTACATCCTCGATTAGGAGTATTAATATAATATCCAGATAAATTGGCTGAATAATTTAAATTTTCTTCTGATAATGATTAAGAAGATGAACTCATCAATTCAGTTCTCATTGTAAGAGAAGAGTTCAATCAAATTCCATCATATGTAGATATTGATAAAAGTAGTCGTGAATATTGGGATCGCATATTTCTAAAATTACATATGGCTGGTATGAGAACAGTAGTATATTCTAAAATTTATTTAAGAGAAAATGAAAAAGCCAATTTTCTTGATAGATATTCAGGAATCAAGTTTTCTTAATCTTAAAATGATCTAATCTAATTATTTCATGACATAGAGAAGGATATGTAAATTATGCATGTTTTAGGTATTAAAGAGAAAATAAGACCAGATGCTAAGATTTTAATTTAATAAATGAGATAAGCAGATTTAAGTTTATTTTTATTATCAGGTGATGATTTGAATAGAGTTTTACCTGTTGCATATAAATCAAAACTATTATCAACAACAGATCAATTACTATATATAGATTCAGATAATGCTAAATTAGTAATTAAAAATTAATTGGCTTAAATGGCATAATAATTATAATCCAATGATTCTAATAATATCAATACCAATATTAACACTATGTAATAATCAAAAGCCCTTAGATTAAATACTTTGAGTGATAAGTATCCATCCAAAAGTGTTGACCAAAATTAAAATTAGGATAGTTAAAATAAATTGATGGGTAAAAGTTAGTAAATGTAATTTTAAATGTATCCAGAGATTAAAGCATATTCAATAATATTAAGTGGAGAATAATTTAAAATCATATCTGAAGATAATGTATTATTTACTCATTTAATATTTCTCTTATATTTTTGTAATTCATTAATAGCATATAAATTTAATGCAAAAGAGAAAGCAGAAATTATTAAAATAATCTAAACCTAATTTTAAGGTAATAAAAAAGTCTTAGCAATTGGAGATTCATTTAATGATATTTAAATGTTTAGAAAAGCCAATATGGGGATTCAATTATTTCACATTCCAATTAACTATTAAATATAAAAAATGAGTACTAAATTGAAAATAAATTAACGATTATCAATGAACAAGATTATGGAAAATCCACTAAAAAAAATTAATACTATTAAGGATATTTAAAAAATGCCTACTTCAGATATATGTATAAATAATTTTGAAGATTTCTGTGGATTGATGTTCTTTGAGAGTAGAATATTTGCTGAAGTTTATGACGATTTACTAGTATTCTCATTTTATAGATCATTATTAATTTTGTATTCTTTATTTCTAATGTATTCAACAAATTGTGCATAAAATTATTAATTAATTGAAGGTGGTTGGTTAACAGTTTATTAGAGTTTAATGTTGATTCTATAATAAATAGCAAGTTTAATATCAAAACTCAATGAAAATTATCATGCTGATTCTAAAATGTATCAAGAACAATTCAAAATCAATATAAAAACTTTTAAAAAGAAAAAAGTTATATCATTTGTATTTAAAATAAATGGTAATGCCTTACTTGATGCAGTTTTATTATGGTTATCATACTATATCTTATATTATAATAATACCTAAATAGGTATCATCAGATAGATGTTACTACTTTTATTAATTGGAAGTGATATTGTAAAATTATGTGTTTCAACAGTTTAAAAAATGGTTGCATGGATAATTTTATTATTTACATATATTGTTTGTTGGCTTACAATGTCATTATTATCTGTTAAATATTCATTTGATGAAAACATAGAAACTTTTGAAGAATTATTTATTGATCCAAATTCATGGTTTGTTTTCTTTTTCTATATATTTGCTTAATTATGTCTAAGTACATGTATTGAAGTGATTTAGCCATTGTTTTGTTAAAGTTTAATAAAAAGTGAATAAAGTTATGAAGAGATATCTCAGATTTAATAAAAAATAAATGGTAAAAATAATATTAGTAAGAAGAAATATCATAATCTTATTAAAAGAATAGCAGTTATAGCTGGTAAAATATTTAAAAGAAATAATGATGATTTAGATATATCTATTTAGGAGATGGTATCAGGATCTAATTTAAAGGTAAATTAAGATAAAGTGAATCCACTTACATTAAAGTTTATGAATAAAGATACTGAAATGAAATTCAAAAGATTATCTAAAATTTTATGGTTAAAATTAGAAAAATACAAATCTATATTTACTCTTTTCTTTTTAGAAATAATTGCTATAATATTGTATATAGTATATAATTTGAATTCATTTCAAACTAAATTATATTTCATGACATATATTTTAGGTATAGCACTAGAAATTGCTTTGTTGTCTTTAGTGTGTTCTAACATATATCCAAAACATTTTTTCTTTATAAATTTAGCAATAGTTAGTATTAGATGTCTGATCAAATTTATTTGTGATATTGGGACAACTGAAATACAAGGAATCTATGAAATATTGATTACTTAAAATTATATAGTGATAATACTTTAATCTAGAGTTCATTTACCTATTGTAAATTTTATTTTAGTACTTATATCCATAGTAGGATTTCTTAAAAAATTTTCAATAATTGACTATTCAATAGTTTAAGTTACATATTTTGTAGTGATCAATGGTGAAATAATAGCTATAGCTACAAGTATACTGTTTATGACATTGCAATACAAATTGATAAGATTAGAAAGGGAAGACTTTATGTTAGATGTGACATTAAATTAGGAGACTTCTAATATGACTAATGTATTGTCTATTTTATTGCCAAAATTCATAAGGGATAGAATAAATGCAAGTAAAAATGATATAATATATTAGAGGGAATGTTTGAAATAGCTGAGAATTAAGGAAATGTATCTATAGTATTTTGTGATATATGTGGATTTGATGATTTGATATCAATAGAGAAAGAGAATGTAGTTAAGATATTGGATGGACTATTCAGATCTTTTGATTAATTATGTACTTAAAATGGAATGTAGAAGATTGAGACTGTAGGTAAAACTTATATGGCTGCTGGTGGATTAAAAGCTGTAGATTAAGGAACTAAATTTAACAATTAGAATTGTGTAAAAAGAGTAATATTATAATTGATATCTGGTAGGCAGTGTAATTATCATTGGAAATGATGGAACATACAAAGAAAGTGAAGTATGGGTAAATTGGTTATTTAACAATAAAAATTGGGATACATTATGGTAGGGTAATAGCTGGAGTCATTGGTCATCATAAACCTTAATTTTCATTAATAGGAGATACAGTAAACACAACTAGTAGAGTGTGTTCAACTGGATAGGATGGACAAGTCACATTATCTAATGAAGCTTATTAAGAGATCAATATGCCTGATTTATAATTTACTTAAAGAAAGGTGGCTGCTAAAGGAAAAGGAGAATTAATCACTTATTAAGTAAGTAAAGATATAAAGAGAAATAATGATAAAAAAGGCATTAAAAAGAGAGGTGTCATATTAAAGAATGAAGAATCTAATTAAATGGTTTTTTCTCCTTAATCATCTTTACAAATATAGTAACCTTAAGGATATTAAAATCAAACAAAATAAACATCTTCTTTTGCTTAGAATTCATAGAAGAGATAAAATAGTATTATTATCAACAAATAAGATGATGTATCTCTTTAAAACCAATAATAAGATATTCTACAATAATTCTCATCAAAGTAATCGATACCTGTTTAATAAGAATCTTCATAAGATTCAAATAGACCATAGGAACAAGTGAAGTAATTTAGAAGAAAGACTAATTAAAGGTAGACTTTATTAATGAGAGGGTTACCTTAACCAGCCTAAACTGCAGGATAAATAAAAATTAATAGTAATCAGAACATATAATATGATCTTGAGTAAGATAATAGTTGTTAAGATAAAGAGTTATAATAATCATATTTAGAAAAATCAAATTTACTCTCTGATATTTCCTAAAAATTAAGAAGAGAATTATAGATAGATTTAATTGATGATTTTCCTGATTATGATATAGAAATTGATAAGATTAAAGGTTATTTAGAAGATGATAATAGTAATGTTATAAGTGAATGTTTATAATTGGAAAGAAAGAAATTATATTTAGGATTTAAAGATCATTAATATTAATTAGCTATGGAATTTACAGAATAGGTAGCTGAAGGTAGAAATATAGTATTAATAACAATTTATTTGCATTTTTTATAATATTTGGCTAAGACTTTTACATTGTTCATTATATGGTAATATGATATCATAGCTATTGCTAATTTGATAATCATAATAAGATTAGTAGCTGCATTGATACTATTGATGTTAGCTTTGTCTTAAAATAAGAAATTAAAACATAGATTCTATAAGAGTAATTACTTTTTAGGCACTTATATAATATTATTGTTAAGTATTTTATTTGAATTTATCTTGTTAAAAAGTGAAGAATTAATAGAATTATAGGCATCTGAAGGTATTTTATTACTTTGCTTTTTTTGCTCGTTATAGATAATTGAAATTACATATAAATTAATGTTTCTATTGGTTTTTTGTTTTGCATAGATTATGATTGTATTAATAAAATTTCATAGTTGGCCAATAGCTTATTATACTATATTTTAGGGTATCTTAATGTTTTCTGTACATTATAATTTGTTTTATTAAGATTTGAATACTTTTAATAATAAGAGATCTTTAGGAATAAAGAAAAGTTAATCTGAAAACTTAGTTAAATATTTATTACCTAATCATATATTAAAATAATTCTTATCAAATAATTAAAGAGCTTTTCTGGTAGAATAATTGGAAGATGCTACATTATTATTTGCAGATATAGCTGGATTTACTGAATATTCAAGTAAAGTAGAACCAGAATAAGTAGTAAATATGCTTAGAAATCTCTTTACTGAATTTGATAAATAATGTTTAACCTAGAATACATATAAATTATATACAATAGGAGATTGTTATGTAGCTTTAGGAATTATAGATATCAGACAAAGGAATCCTGCATAGGAAGCTAGAAATGTTGTTGAATTGGGATTTGGTATGATTGAAATAATAAGAAACGTTAGATAGATAATAGGATTTGATGGATTAGATATGAGAATAGGAATACATACTGTAAGTATATTGAATAAATGATTAGGGTAGAGTGATAGCTGGTATTCTAGGGACTGAGATAGTTAGGTATGATGTATATGGTGCAGATGTAATGATTTCAAATAAGATGGAATCTAATGGGGAGAGAGGAAGAGTTTAAGTATCAGAAGAGACCAAATAATTATTAGAATCGTAATATCCAGATACATTTAATTTCATTCATAATAAATTGATAGAATTTAAGTCAATAAATAGATAGACAAATGGATACTTTGTAGAAAAGAATGATTCTGGATTTGATGAATCTAATAATTTATAAAGTGGAAGAGAATCTATTAAACTATGAATACTAATTTATGGCTGTCTTTATGTAGATATATATGATCATTCTCCAATTTAATCTTGTTCAATTAATTATTCAGCTTATTATACAGCATTATTAATCAAATCTTGAGGAACACTTTGATGTTTACGTCCATTATTATCAGTAATCCAAGTCATTTCATATTCATATTTCTTCTCTTTGAATTCTTCATGTGCTAATATTAACCTTTAATAATATTAATATATATTTATTACATTTTAGCAATATAGACTAAAGCTTCTTAACATGTAAGATCTTTGAAATTTCTTCTTTCAAATTCAGATTTACAAACAGCTCTACCTTTTCCATGAGTACATGCATGATAAGCATATTTATTTCCTGATGGTTCAATCATGTACAATTCATAACCATCAAAAGTATTGTAACTTGCAATAAATGCTGAAATAATTAGATGAATATTAATACTTGCAGATCCAAAGGGTCTTACTCCAGAATACATTGTGTAGGCATGAACATATTATGCTACTCTATCTGATAATACATGGGCAGATGCTGGAATAGCATACATATCTTAATATTAAGATGCCTCAGCTTTTGCTCTTTATAAAATGTTTCTTCCATCTGGCAATTTTCCACATAAAGCCATTCCAGTTTAGAGATCGATATTATAAATTCTCTTATTTGTATTGTCTTCCAATAATCTAGAAAACTTCTATTTCTCTGCTCCCAATATGACTCCATCTTTACATTTCACTCCAATCACAGTCCTAATTAGATTTATTCAAATTACTCTGAATTCTCAACTGCTTTTGTTGCATATTCTACCTAATAGATACGTCCTTCCTAAGAATATGTAGCTACTGATAAATCATACATGCTTCCACTCATTTTTTTTAAAGATAATATTTAAATTAAGTCACATAAGTATTAATTTATAATTTATAATATATAATACTAATGGGATGTATGAATGCTTCTGGATATATATCAGGACCTATTGAACCATTCTATTAATCCAATAAATCAAATTTTGAAGCATTTCTAATTGAACAATTAACACTCCTAGGATTTCAAGAAAGTTAAATTGACATTTCAAAAACTATAGAAATCAAATTCATGTATTAATTTATTTTAATCTTTATATAGACCATATCTTAAGGAATTACAAACCTCTATTTAATAAGACATCCATTCACCATTCAATAACAATATCTATTTGGTCCCTGTCTTAACTAATCAATTAAGAGAAATTTATATAAAAACATCAGAATTCTTAATTAGATTTCAAGATTACAAATTAAATACATTAATAAATAAAGTTGGACTTAAATATTAAGCACTTCTTAGAATTGGAGATCTATTTCCAAAATAATTAAATTTAAGATTTTATAATAATCAGATCTCTAAAATTCAAATTGATCCAAACATTATTATCATTGTCATCAATCATATAGACATTGGTTATACTCTATTGCAATTTATTAGAGAACTAAATCAAAACTTTTTGCTTGTCTTTCGTTAAGATGACAATGATAATTAAAATATTAATTTATTCATTGAAACTAATTCATTTTAAAGGTATTATTTTTATAATGTTTAGTTGCTCTGTAATTATTGGTGTTGATGACAAAGAAGATAGATACAATACTATTATAAATCTTTATACGAAAGTTATCAAAAAATAAAAGAAAAATTAAAACTCTGATTCTCATTCCAGAATACTTACTTAATTTTTAAATTAAGAAGATTAAGAATAATTTTGGGAAGATGGAACTCTTATTTTCAATTTTTTGAATTCAACACAAACTCACATTTCAAATAATACTTCCATAATTACAATTTAAAATCATAAAATCATATCTATCAATGAATTTAATATTAAAGACCTCTAATTTCAATCATTAAAGTCTCTGTAAGATAAAAAACCCATTTATTAATATATATACAAGTCTATTAAACAGATTATGATAAAAGAACTTATTTAAGCACTGTAATTAAAATCTTCATAATTCTCTTAATATTTCAAATTGAAATTATCAACTTAGAAGATTTATAAGGATTTGAAATTACAATAAAAAATTTATATGCCTTCCTAATTAAAATTGCAAAATGTTAATGAAATTGATAATAAAACTTAAGAAATATTAACAATCATTAAAAAAGCTTCACATGATACTTTGATCATTAAATAATCCTCCAAATTTCAATTACCTAGTAAAGTCAGAATTTATTAAATCTTGCAATTAATCTTTAAGGATTAAGATGTTAGTCAAGTGTAAATTATAATAAATTCCATTTTACATATATAATGGAGTCTTGGAGATGAAATAATTAATAGTTAATTTAATATTCAAAATTAAAATTACTAAAATTATAAGTACAAATGGAAAATGATCAAATTTTATGATAATTACAAAATCACAAATCTTGCTCAACCAAAAAAACAATAGATCTTCTTTTAGGCTCAATAATTATTAAAATGTTTAAACAGAAAATCTGATTTAGAAATATTAAATAAAATCATAAATTAAATAATGATTGATAAATGGAGTGTAAATGAGGAATACTTTCCTATTTGTGATGTTTATTAGATATCATTTATTAATTCAACTTCAGTTGATGAAACCTCACAGTATCAAGAGAAATTAGATAAAATAGTTGTCTCATAAGAGGTATGTAATAATCTCTATTATTAAGAATTAATATTTAATTATATTTTTAATGGATTACTAGGATCCACAAAGAATGAGTTAACTTGATTAAATTATTTCTCTTCCTTTGTAAATGGATATTAAATTAATCATTTTAAGCAATTCAGAATTTGATAATGATAATTTTGAATAATTAATAAATAAGAAGAAAATTGAAAAAAGAATTTATCAAAAGAACATTCAATTTTGGTTTCCAATATCATCTCAAATTAATGAGATGCGTTTTTCATAATATTTGGAAATCTTCTACAATCTCAACTAAAAAGAAAATGTTATTATTATCAATAATAAAAATTAATTATGTCATAAAATTACAGGATTTCAACTTATAAAAATGCTTTAGGAGAGAAATTATTAAGAAGATGATAAAAAATAAAATTAAAATAATAATACAAGTGCAGGCAAAAGACAACATTAAAATAATAATAATGAGCAATTAAAAAAAGCAAGATAACAATTGAAACAACACATCGAGAAGGAAATAAAACAATAGTAGTAATTATCACTATAGAATGAGCAGGATCATTCAACAAATATGATTTTAGATTTTCAATGGGCAAAAGAGAAGTCTATTAAAATGGATGGATAATAGAAGATATCTGTTATTTCTAAACAATATTTTAAACCAATATTCAATAATAATAGTGGAATATAATTTGAAATATTTTAATAGATAATTTCTAATAAACAATACGATTTTTAATGATTTGGAAATAAATATAATAATTACTTCATTAATCAATTTGAGTTTATGTAATTTATAATAAATTTATTATTTCTATAAAAAAAGATATTGTAATTTTCTATTACTTATAATAATATATCAATATATTAAATGTATTCATTTATATGGCCTATTTATATATAATTAATTGTTAAAATTGATCATTTTGAATGTAAAGCAAATATAGAATAGTTATAAAATAAAGTAAATATAGAATAGTTATTAATATAAAGTAATAACAACTTAAAAGTGTTAGGTTGATGATGAATTAAATTAAATTATGAAAGAATGTACTAGATGAGATATAAATTATTACCTCGTTTATAAATATTAATAATAAATGCAATAAAATAACCGTGTTATTTATGAGTTAGAGGACGATGAAGATATAAAGTAGGCTCCTTTCCCAAAGTCTTAAGTATAAGATTTATGTAGTAATGAAAGGCGATAAAAATCGATAGAAAGTTAGGTGCAGTGTCTTATTTAAAATGGGGAACTCTTTACAATTACTTCTTTTCTTTTGATTTAAGAAAGGGTAGGTTATTGTGTTACAAAACTTAATAATCTAATAGTTATAATAATTATTATTCTTTGAATAAAGGAGACTTTGTTAGAGATGAAGTTGATATCTAAAAATGTGAATAATCTTTAAGAAAGAAAAAAAATTATTAGTAAGCAAATGATTAGAAAGTAATATACAAGTTTATAATTAAAGTCAGTGATTTATGTGAGAACAGCAAAAGGACGAGTATTTAAGTTGATGATTGATGAGAATGAAAATTATGATAAGATTTTAGGATATTTACAGATTTGTTTTTCTTCAAAAATGCAAAACGTAAAAGCATTTTATGCTCTTTTGGGAATTGGACTTGTAAAAATAGATGGAAATGAATTTAAGTTGACTACAGGTGTTGTGGTCTCTTTAAATGATTGGTCAATAAACAACAATAATAATTATTTGTTAAAAAATGATAATGGATTTAATTTATTAATAAGCAATATTGAATTATTGGGAGGTATTATAGGATCATTTTATAAATAACATGAAATCTTGGGTATAATATTTAATCCATCAACTCAAACTATAGACATAATTTTATTTGATAATTTTTAGTAAATAATTTATATTTAACTTAGAAATCCTAAAATTCTACATTAAGCTATATTCAAATTGGTTAAATTCTCAAAAAAGAAGGTGATTCCATCAGGTAAAGGACAGTTATTAAAGTTAAAAACTGATATAGCAGAATTCAATTAAAATGATTACATTGAAATAGCTAAAAATGATAATGTAAAAATATATATTCATACATCAAAATTGAATGTAGCTGATTATGCATTAATATAAGGTAGTATGTTTTCAGCATAATATGTTGATGATTAAAATGATTTGGATGGAGACAAATTACTTTCAAATAATGCTCTTGAATTTTATAAGAAGAATTTTAAAAGTTAGAATAATTAATATGATGAGACTAAAGAATTTATTATAGTAAGTAAATAACAAACACAAGTCTTTATGATTAATAATTTATCATCTCCCAATAAAGGAAGTGTTCAAAAATAAAATTCATTTAAATTTGATGATATTAGTGATGAAAGTGGAGGACAAGGTTCAGGTGTACAAGTAGCTAAGAGTATTAAAGGTAATATATTAGATAATAATTTTATTTAGTTCATATGAGAAGATAAATCAATGGTGCCAGTGATACTAGTCCAAAAGTTTAGTTTGTAAGTGATTTTTAAGGAAGTGGATTTGAATCTGCAGCAAATTATGCTAATGAATTGAATGAATAAAAATAAAGAGAAGATGATATAAATGAAAATAGTGATATTAATGAGAATGGACATAGAAATAATAATAATAATAAATAAGAAGCATCTGACAATTAATTGAGCAATAAGAAATAAGTAGAGGAATAATAATAAATTATAATTAAAAATGAATTATAATTACTTTAGCATCAACCTAGTAAAACTGAATAGAATCAAGAAGAAGATTCAGATGAAATTGATCTTGTTAAGGTTTCAATTGTGTTTGATGAAGGAGAACATTGTAATCATAGAGATTTTAATTCAATTATGAATTATGCTTTAAATTTTAAGAAAGTTGATTATAAAGATGAATATAGAATTCCTTCGGCTCATAAAAAAGGAGGAACAGCTTGTTAAGATGAAAAGATAATTGATTTAGCAAGAAGTGTAGGAAAAAATATGATTAAATAAGTAGGTCAGAAATTACTTAGTGGAAATTTCAATTTAACAACAGTTTCCTTTCCTGTAATTTTGATTTCTTTTAATATTTTAGATTAAAGCTATGATACCTAAATCAGCCTTAGAAAAAACATTTATGTAAACAATTCTCTTTCCTTTGTATATGAATAAGGCTGCTTCTCTATAAAAACCATTAGAAAGAATGAAATTAAGTATTGTAGCTCTCATTTCTAATTACATTTAAGCGAATTCATTTCTTAAACCTCTCAATCCAATTTTAGGTGAAACTTTTGAAGGTGGTTATGAAGATGGTACATAACTTTATTGTGAATAAGTATAATTAATTCATTATATTTAGATATCTCATCATCCACCTCTATCTTATTTTTTAGTATATGGCCCCAAAAAATCATATAAATTTTTCGGTTATTCTCTTTATGAAGCAAAAGCAGGTTTAAATTCATTGACTATTTTAAATCATGGAAAAAGAACAATTTAATTTCCAGATCAAAAAATAATTTGTACTTTTTCATCTGAACATTATTCAGGTACATTCTTTGGAACAATGAAGAATGAATCTTAAGGAGCTCTTTCTTTTATAGATGAAGCTAATAGTATTAAATATTATATATTTAGATTTAAATTGTATTGTCTAATTAGGAAAAGTGAAGAACAAACCAACAGATTATTTTGAAGGGGAAATTAAATAAGGAAAGACAGTTCTTAGTAAATTATTTGGAAGTTATATGGGTTTTGCTGACTTTGATGGGATTAGATATTGGGATGCCAGAGTGATTAAACCATTTGCAATGTAAATATTGAAATCGAACTTGGAATCAGATCATACAAAGAGAACTGATAGAATTTGTATGATTGCTGGTGATATGAATAAGGCATAAGTAGAGAAGGAAAGGTTAGAATAATTATAAAGAAATGATGCAGCTTTAAGAAAAGAATTCTTAAAATAAAAAAAGAAAAAAGATTAAAAATGATTAATATATATTATTAATAATAATGACCTCTATAACTTAAAAGATTATATCCAAATTTGATCCAAGACAAGTAATCCATCTAAATCTAATCTTTTTTAGTATTATCTAAGTGGATGTATTGACATAATTGTTGTTTAATAACACAATGGATCCTTAAAATCTAATCCATTTCACGTTCGATTTGGTAAATATGATGGTTAAGATTACTATGTTGATATTATTGTGAATGGAAATTTAACAAATGTGAAAATGAGATTGGGAAAAGAAGGTTCGGCATATTTTGAAAAAAGTTCCTTTTCTTCCGGTTATTAATCTGATGATACATTTTCTGAGAAGAATTCGTATAATTGTTAATATAAACAATTTAGACTCTTTGATGAAGCATCCAACTTTAGATTATCCCATAATTATAAGACGCCTGATGATTTATTCAATAGTGATAAGAAAAATAGTAATTGGCTTCAAACTCTAAAATTTTGGGGTAAAGGGTCTAATTAAAAAAAAGATGATGGAGTTAAGATTGAAACAACAAATAACCTTAAAGAATTTTAATAAGTAGATACGTCATCTTTAGTAATCATATTATTATAATATTAGGGATTATCATAAATATAATTACAAAAATAATTCCAGTAGCAATAATCAGAAAAACATATATAAACGAATGATTTTGAGAAAGACAATATTAATTATAGTGATAAAGAGACCTTATCTCCACGTTAATCAGTTATGGAACTATCTCTTTGTGGTTAATATTAAATTTAATAATAAAATTTAACATAAACGTAAAAATTGCAACTATTTGAATAACATAAGGTTTCCTTTTCAATATTTGAAAAAGATTCAATTAAAATAATAAATCATAAAGATCTCGTTTTTAAGATAGGAGATAAGTTCTTTAGTAGAGAAGCTGGAATAATATAATTATTGGCTAAACAAGTTTTTAATTAAGATATGATTATTGATAGTTTGGATCAATAGAAGAAGTAGAATACATAATAATAATAATAATGGTATAGTGTTCTCTTTGGTAAGAAAAAAGGATCAGATTAAATTGAATAAAATACTAATACTTAAAGATTAAATAATAATGAGTAGAGTTAAAAATAACATCAATAATTTAAATCTTAAGATAGACTTAGAAAAATGAGTGAGGATTCTGTTGATACATTTAGTACAACTTCAATCTAAAAAAGAAGAAAATCATAAAGACCGATACTTAAACCTCATTCATCAATTTTAAAATAATTAGGATTATAAAAAGGTGCTAATAAAATTACATACAGATTATGTATACCTAAAAAGAATGATATTGTTGAATTACATGGAACTATTTACTTGTATGATTAAAAAACTAAATTGGTCATATCAGATATTGATGGAACTATAACTAAATCAGATATATTAGGTTAATTAATGCCAAAATTAGGAACTGATTGGAATCATGATGGAGTAGCTAATCTTTATTAAAATATATAATCTATGGGATATAATATTATCTATTTAACTGCAAGAGCAATAGGTTAAGCAGATCAAACTAAAGATTTTATTTAAAATCTACAATAGCAAAATACTAAATTACCTAAAGGACCTGTAATTTTAAGTCCTGATAGTTTATTTCCTGCATTTAAAAGAGAAGTCATTGATAGAACACCAGAATTATTCAAAATCACAGCATTAAAAGAAATTAGGAATTTGTTTATTGGAGAAAGTCCATTTTATTGTGGATTTGGAAATAGAATAACAGTATTTTAATAATTTATATATTAGGATTCTACAGCATATTAAGCAGTTAATGTGGATATCAGTCGAATTTTCATAATAGATCCTGAAAGTAATATCCATAAATATAATACTGATGAAATAACTACATATGTGGAGATGAATAAAAATATTCATCTTTATTTTCCTCCTGTTGATGAAGGAGAGTATCAATCTTAAAACTTCTGGAAGATTCCGATCAGTGACAATTTTGATATAAATTATTCATGATTTTTGTTTATAATAGATTAATATTAGTATTCCTAATAGCAATAATTAAATTATGTATTTTCGAGGTTTAGAGAATTTAGGAAATACTTGCTATATGAATAGTTTTATTTAAGCATTGCATCTTTGCAGTGATTTTAGACAACAAGTATTAGATTTTGAAATTAACAGAATCGTTGTGTAATTAAAAGATTACACTTAAACTAAATAAGTGGGAAACAAGCCAAATATAGGTTTATTGTTGTCATTATAAAAATTATTTGCTTTACTTTCATTTTCTAGTAGAGACAGCATCAATCCAATTCAATTTAGGATGACCTTACCAGATTAATTTAAGAATAATTATAATTAGCATGATGCTAATGAATTTGGAAAAATCCTATTAGATGAGATTGAGACAAGTTTAAAAAAGTTAAAAATCTATGAAGTATAATATTTACACTATTTAGAATTTGATAAAGGATTCATTTTAGGGTTAAATAGAATGGACAATAGAGTGTTTAAATTGCAATAAGGTAGTAAAGACTCAGGAAGACATTTTGGATTTAAGTCTTTCAATCCCAAATGCAAATTCAATAAGACTAGAAGAATTGATTGAAGAGAATTGTAAACCTGAAATAATGGATGGAGATAATTAATATTAATGTGATAATTGTAATTCAAAAACTAATGCTAAAAGACATTTTACTATCAAAAAAACAGCTAAAAATTTCATAATTTCACTCAATAGATTTGATTTTAAACATTCAGGAAATGCTAAAATATTGACTAAGGTTGAAATACCTAATAAAATACAAATCAATTAACAGAATCTATATTTGTAGGCTGTCATTGTTCATTCAGGAGCTTAAATTAATTATGGACATTATTTTACCTTATCTAGATATACTTTATTAAATGATGAATAAATATGCAGATATCCAAGCATTTAAACTGCCTTATAGAATTTATATATTTAATAGACTCCTTACATTTTATTTTATAAAACTGATTATCCTTATTAAGTAGCTAAGATAAAGACTACATTCTTAAAGAATATTATTGATTAGGACAATTAAAACTATCTGATTTTTAAACAATAGAAACAATAACAATAATAATAAATGTTTTAAAATTAGCAAAATTTTAATTCAAGAAATGATGAGGATGATGATGACAATGGCTAATAAGGATCCTAAGGAGTATAAAATCGTATAATCTTTTGATATTCAATATTTATTTGATTTATAAATTTTTATTCCCCCTATGAAATAGAATGACCCGTTGCCATAATCATAAGTGAGATAAAGATAATAATCTTGTACAGTAGATAAATTATCAGAAAATGATGTAATATTTTTAATGTGATGGATAAGCTCAAAGATTTTCATTTAGACAATCTGAATTTTAATAAATAGAGAGTTTCATTAGCTGTGATTTGTTCATAGAATTAATAAGATGAATCCTTAGTTAAATATTAAAAGGCTATATTGGAAAATATTGATGAACTTAAAGATGAAGGTAAAAATTCTCATCTTTTGTTTTATAGCTCCTGAAGTAGAGTTCTTTTTGATGGAAGTACTCTTTCCAAATAAACCTGAAAGATCAATTGCATTAGATTTATAATTCGGAATGAAAGAAAATGAAAAAACACCATTTAAAATAAAAGAAGGTGAAGAATATCATATTCGATTGCATTTCAAAGTAAAAAATGATTGTGTTATTGGATTAAAGCTATATAACACTACAAGACGACATGGAATAAAAGGTTTTATTTTTTATTTATTTTTTTAGTTGATTCATATGAAGAAATTATTGGTTCTTTTGCTCCTAAAAAACATATACAAATATATGATATGGAATCTTAGATTGCTCCATCTGGATTTCTAGCAAGAGGTCATTATAAAGGTAAATTATTATTTGCTGATGGGGATGGTATTGTTCATATGCAGTTTGATTATTATTTTGAAATATCTAAAGATTGGTGATGTTAATTCACATATTTATATGTAACTGTTAATTGTGTATACAAATTAATATTAACTTTTTATTCATAACATTTACTTGACTTCCAAATATGTAAGCTGCTTTCAATCAGATTGGAAACATGGGATAGGCTGTGTTGGTTTAGATGAATGAATAGGCACAGAATCTAATCCAAGCTATATCCAGTAGTTGTTTGGATATTTTGGGTTAACAAGACGGTATCTTTATTAAGTAAAAATTCGAGTTGTTTGAAGCTCTCTCAGGTATGATTTTACTTATTTTTAGGTTTTGAGACTCCAAATGTATATAAGGTCTATGCTGCAGATGATTAAGGAAAAAAGAAAAAGTAAAAGGCTTTATTCAAATGCAAGGAGAAGTCATCCACCTGTGCTAGACTCTGTCTTCCGTAATTATTTATTTTATTCATTTATTAGAGGTAATGCAAGACCTTTTGAAATGAAGATTAGTAATTACGGTTGTAAAGATTTCTAACCTGCCTTGGCTAAATAGTTCATGAAAGATGATAAACGAGTTGTGTTCAAATTCAAGAGGGAATATTAATGCACTTGCTTGTGCTTTAATAGGTATTTTATATTATGTTATCAAATAGACCTCGTCTTGAAGTTTTATATGTGGAAAATGATGAAAATAAAAAATTAGGAACAATTGTTAATCCTTGGTATTTCTGTAATATTGGATGTCATGTTTTGGATATACATGATAATCTTAGATACATTGTTGAAGCCAGTTGCTGCCAAACTTATTTTTGGTGCAGTTGTCCTTGTAACTCTTGTAATAAAGTTGAATTTGTGATTAAAGTACCAACTGGAGATGTATAATTTAAATATATCAATAGGTTGTGGCTCATTTAATGAAGAAGGGAAAAGACTGTTGTAAAAATATGATTGGAGATGCTGACAATTTCAGTTTGATTTTCCCTAAAGGAGCTTCAAAAGAAGACAAAGCCTTATTGCTTGCTGTCACACTTATGATGGATTACATGTACTTTGAAGACAAAAGTGGTGCTTAAGCTTCTGTTGGTCCAGGATGAGCCATTATAATGTATTGCACATATCAACAAAACAAAATTTATTATAATATTTATAATATTAACAGATGAGTAGTTAATTTGAGGCTGATGATTAAATGCTTTATGCAGATGATTCCTAATTTATAGAATAAATAACTTAGAAATTATCAAAGATTAGAAATAACTTAGGAATAGACATCTATGATCAAGAGAATCTAAAAACTCCATAATCTGAATAATCAGGTAGAAATAATGAGCATAATACATTTGGAAGAGAAAAGAAAACTACAGAATCTAAAAATAATTTATAAGATGTTCAAGAACTCAATTTTATAACAAGCTCTAAGCATAAGAATAATAATAATAATAATAATGATTACTAATATTCAGGTTAAAGTGCAAAAGAAGAATAACAATATTAGATATCATAATCAGGTACAAAAGATGATATACTACCTTAATAAATTAGCTTCTTATAAAATAAATTGGAAGCTCTAAAATAAATTTGTATTATTTAATTATTTATTTTAGATCCTACATAAGGTTAAGATTAAGCTAGTTTTCTTGAGAGAGAGAATGTTTATTTAAAGATTGAATTAGAATTAAAATCAAAATAAGAAAGATTCTTAAGATAATAATTAACAACATTAACAGAAGAATATAATTTGAAATAATCACAATTACAATAAAGTATCTAAGATTTAAAATAACAACATGAAGAATTTGTTTAAGCAACAGATTTAACTTAAGATATAAAATAATATATCTTATCATTAGAATCAGACTTACATATGACAAAAGGTGAATTAGATTTGTTCACTTAACGATTATCCAAAGAATAATCTGATAAAGAAATACTTTAGAATTAAATTAATAATATTCATACTAAAGCTAAAAATGAATTTTAAAAGCTTTATGAAAAAGCATTCAAAGAATTGTAATTCATGTGTTAAGCATTGAGTTCAGAATTATTAACTGAATAAATTGATAAGAAAGTCAATAGAATTTCTTAATAAACTAATTTATCCAAGATGTATTAAGATTTAATAGATGAGAAAATGATTTTGGTATTTATTAATTATTATAATAAAATAGGAAACAAAAATTGATAACTTAGAAAATTAATTAGAATCTTATTAAAATAAATAATTTACTATTAGTTATGCACCATCAATTAAATCTATATATGAGAAAAGATTGCATGTAATGAAACAAGGATTATTGCATTGGAAAACAAGAACTTAGTAAATTGAATAAATAGTACTTTAATGGATTCAAAAATTAAAATAAGAAAATTAATAGTTAAAAACATCACTTATTAAGAAATAAAATAAAATGTTTATTGTATTTGAAAATTTATTAAGAGAAATATATCAACAATTTGAATAGGATAAATATATTCAAATGGAAGAGATTAAAAAATTATAAGAATAAAAGGTTGATGATAAAGTTAAGATAACAAAACTTAGATCAACAATATAATAATAAACAAAAACTAAAAAAAGATGATAATGATAATAATAATTCAAATTACTCTTTAAAAACAATAATATATAAATATAATAGATTATCAAATTAAAACTAAGTCAAATGGCTATTATCAATCCATATTTCTTAATTTCATCTACTTTTTTCTTTACTCTTGATAAGTTTATGATGTTTTAATTTAAATATATCTGATTCAAACATTAATGCTGCATATTTTTAGAGTATTTTTTACCTAATAAAAATATAATTATTATATCATTTTACATAAATCAAGAATAGTATCTATAATTTTATCAGTTAGCATGTTACTTGATAAATTTATAGTTGATATTTAGTTATTTTCTTAATCATTCTCATTTTGTTTCTCTATCAATTCAATTAACAATTATTACGCTGCTCCATCTTATATCTTATTCTTTGCCAATTTTAATACTCTTAGATTTTTTGTCTTCTTAATAATTGTTATTAAAGATAGTAATCCTTCATCTCCTAATTCTGCTTGACTAAAATCACATTAATCTAAACTATCTCCTTTTAATTTTACAATTAAAGGTTAAAATTTTTCATTTATTTTTTTTTATTTTATTGATCTTCTGATTGGTGAAGGAGATACAGTTCTTCTAGTTGCTAAAGTAGTTGCTGAAGGAGATTTCTTTAAATTATTTAAATATTAATCATCTAATTCTTATGATGTTAAAGGTTGATCTGTACGTTAATGATTGGAATATGATAATTATTATTAATAAGGTTAATTTTATGATTATTATTATTATTACAATTATTATTATTAGGTATATAAAAATTATTATTATTATTCTTATTATTATTATTAATATAAATATTATTGATTTAATTATTTTTACTATTAATTCTCTTAATATTATTTGATCCATAATTCCATTTAATTTTAATTTAAAGGATCTTAAATTATAGAACTATTTATATCTTTAAGAAGTGAACATTCAGTAATTGATTCAAGTCTTGATAATGAATTCTCTAATTTAAATTAAGGATCTTTTTAATAAACAATCAAATATGTATTTATGAATTATTCTAAATCACTTTTAAGTTCTAGATGAACTTCTCTATAAGATGGTTCATCTATCTTAAGTAGTATTTACTATTTTGTAGATTCTAATTCTTTTAAATATTGTGAACCTATTAACATCAATTCATTAGTTGAAGAAATAGAGATTAATTCAAATGGAATAGAATTTACCTTTTATTATTCTTCATAATAATGAATTCTATCTTTACTAGTCATTCTCCATAATTCAACTTTTCTTTGAACATCAATAAAAGCTTCTGTAATATATTTATTATAAAGTTCTTAAGAATGTATAATCTTCTCTTTGCATTCTGATATAATTTTATTTCTTTTATTATCTAATACTAATGTTAATTCATCAAAAAATGAATTGACTTGCTTAATTTATACATCTAAATTGGATTAAAAATGCAATTCAATTTTGTTAAAATATTATGACATTTCAAAGGTTTCATTTGTAACTTTATCAAGTCTTTCTGACATATCCTTTAATTCATCAATTCTTCTAATAATCTTTTTTAACGCATCTTCTAAATTAACAACTTTATGATCTGCATGATCTCCAAATAATGCACATTTTGCACAAATCCTAACACGATGATCAACACAAACAACATCCATTTTTTCACCATGTTTCTTGCATCTATCAGAATCTTATTCATTTTCTAATTATTTTGGAGAATTGTTCATTACAATTTTTCTATTGGTTGGTCTATTTTTGATTATCTATAACAAAGCAAAATTTTTAGGAAATTCATTCATTTAATTTCTTGTTACTTATACACTTTTTATAATAATTCAAATATAATACCCATCTTCTTTGCATACAAATTAATTTCCATTTTTTAATTTTACATTTAGACATTCTGCACAAACACTATGACCACAATCAGGTAATAGAAAAGGCTCTCTTTGAATAGAGAAATATTCTTTGCAAAATTAACAAGCGAATAATTCAGAATTCATTATGGATTAATTTATTATAGAAATTAATAATGCATTCTTATTATTATGATGATTGAAAGAGATTATAATTAGATATGAATAATTTCATTAAAAATTTAATTTTATTGTCTATAATTAAATATTATTTTTAATCATTTTCCTTATTTCTCATTTTATTCTTAACGTGTATATACAATCTTTAATATATCCTTTTCAAATTAAATTAATTTTAAAATATCACTTTCAGTTATTTAAATTATTTCTTTATAGAATTTCAATTCCATATCATGTTTTTCTACAAAATTATTTAGATTTATAATAGAAGCTGAAATTTATTCAAGTTATGTTAATGTATTTTAATTAAAATGTTCAACACTTATTCTAACATAACTAAATATAATAATTATAATAATATTACTTAATATCTTCTTTATTTTTTTGTATATGTTAAAATATCTCTGTATGATTATCAGTAACATTTTTAACTTTATCCAATAATTCTTAAGAAAATTTATTAAATTTTTCCAAACTCCAATCAATCTATTTTATACATTACTATTAATGTAGAATATTTTAATCATTACTTATATTTTTGATTCTATTTCTAAAGTAAAATTATTTATTTCCTTCTATATTTTTATTTATTTCTCCTCTAATTATACTAATTTCTTTTCTAATAAATTTTATCTTCCTATTAATGGTTCATCATTTCTTATTTCTTTAATTTCTGATTTCTTAAGTTATGAAATATTAAGTCTTTTTGTTTAACTTATTTATAATTTTGATTCTACTTCATCTTAACTTTAATCCATTTAACTAAAATCACCTTATTAATAACTCTTAGACATTTTCTTTTACTAAATGTATTTTTAGGTTAAATTTTGAAATCCTTCTCTATTATCTAATCTTTATTCAATTTCATTAAATTTTTCCTCAATTTTTTAAATTATTAATCTAAACAATTCCATTGTTACCCATTATTTATTTTAAGAATGCATATCCACTAATAATTCTAAATCTGCTTGATTATTTTAAAATAAATTGGGACTTGTCTATATAGATTAAGTTTCAATTGTTAAATTCCTTTTTTTAATATTCATACTCAAATTCGATTCAGATAAAGCATACTCAAGTAAACTCATTGGTCTTTACATAATCATTAAATTTGGTTTCTGTTATTATTAATGATCATTAATTTTTTTTTTATTTATAACAAAATATACTAAAACATATTGAAAGAAAATAAGTTATTAATAGTACTCTTAAGTATTAAAGTTGTTTTAGCAACATTGTTTTAAATCCTTATTTTAATTTCTTAAAATATGTTGAATAAATACACTTTAAATTTCTTATATAAAGATCAATCAGATAAATACCTTTAGCAAAACTCACCTAAAATCATAAAAGAGCATCTTAACTTCACAATATATGCATTGGTATAAATGTATAATAAAATTGTAGACATTTGCAATATTAAATATGGTTTAATTTATATTGGCTTAGAGTATTTACTATTCCATATTAGCTGGATTTAGTTGTTTCTTAATAGTTGGATTATAAAAATTGATAACACATAAGCCATATCTAATAAATTATGTGATATCATTCTATTAGTTTTATGTATTATTCATAGTTGAAATTAATAAAATTATGGATAGCTCAAACAAAACCAATGACTTATTTAATTGGAGTTATGGGTATTAAACTTGTTTTATGCACTTTTGTTTATATTTATAAGGTACTGATATGATGGTATCAACATCTGTTCTTTTAATTACTACAACTATTCATGTACTTTTAATGCCTTTTGATGAGATATATAGTATTGCACATATTCTAAGTTTCTTCTTTATGATGATTTGTATGGTAGCAGTAAAGTACAATTATGAAAGGAAAAAGAAGGAAGAATTTTTTTATTCATTTCAATAAGAATAGTGGGAATGGATTATTCGAAAGGCTATTTCAAATACTATTATTTTAATGCGTTATGATTAGAAATAAGATTAGATAAGATTAGTCAAACAAAGTATCAGATCCTAATAAATTCATGGTATTAATGGATGTTATGATTTAAGATAATTTTTGAGAAATGTAAATAATTTTTACTCTATATATAGTTAATTTGTGCAAATTCAACATATTAACATCAATCTTGTGATCAAGCAAATAATTTAGAATAATATGTAAGAAATATGCTTACTGAAAAAAGAACTAATTTTCTTGAAAAATAAGAAAAATAAAAGTATTTTATTGATTAAATTAACAAAATCTTTTATAAGGTTAAATTAACTAAATGTATTTTAAATAATGAAGTTTAATGCTTACTTATTTTAGATAAAATATAAATTTCAGATTAAAAAAGTTAAGATATGCTCATTATATTTTTATAAGAATTATCTAAAAATGTATCATAATTAATAAAAGATCAATTTTATTGTTCTACTCTACAATTTAATTAAAACAAATCTTAATCAACAAAAAAATAAATAGATAAATTAGATAAAAGACTACTGAATTATGCATATTTATAAATGACTTTATTTAATTTATCCTTTTTGACTCAAGAATACAAGTATGATATCAAATCAAGTATTAATAATTAAGATTTAATTGCATAATTATAATCCATATTCAGAAATAAGGTTAAAATATTTTGTCAATTTGAATTTAAATGTAATGCTTAGATATTTATATCTATTATTTTATGTTGTTGTAAATTTGTTCATTTTATAGAAAACTATTTACCAAATTTTAACATAGAATTTTTTTAAACTAAAAATACAATGATTGAAATGAACTTAATATTTGTTTTAAAAAGAATAAATAAAGTTGCATCTTCATATTCAATATTGGCAGCAAATTGGGCTAGTTCAAATAAAAGGTAATTTAATCAAAAGTCACTTTTTGAAGCTTGTATCAATAGACTATGCTTTTTATAATCTTTTTATGAATTTCCAAAACTTCTTCTTTTTGATGTAAGCACAATGTAAATTTTGATGTCTTAATTTTGTACGCTTAATCATTTTTTAATATAATAGAATGAATATACTTTAAAATTAGTTTGCACATTCTAAAAATTATATTGAATACTATGATTTAAAAATATTAATTTTTATTTTTATTTTAAATCATTAATATATAATCAAACAGTTGAAATCTTACTTGAATGTAAATATAATTCAAGTATCAATGATTATAATCAAATATTAAATCATTGTTCATTTAGTATACTATATTTATTATATCACTCTATTAACAAGAAATCAAAAGAGAACAAGATAATATAAACTCAAATTTCTTTGTTTGAATTAACTAATACTTTATCAATACTAATTTTTATTATTAATCTTATACTAAATCAATAGATAGGATATTAAACTAACTGATAGTCTTTTTAGAGTTCTATATTGATAAACTTAAATTTGTATATATATATTATAGAAAATAATGTTAATAAAGATCTCAATCTGGTTTTGAATTAAGAATCACTGATAACAATTTATCATCACTAAAACACAATGAAGTCATCGTATTACATTTAAATACAACAAAATTAAATTGATACTATCCAATTATTCTATGAAAATTAAAGCATTGATTTTTGGAGCTTCTTTAGCATTCTTAATAAAAGTGATGATTGGATTCTTTGATTTCTTCAAGAGTGTCCCAGTTGTTAATACTTATTCAAATTGTGAATATTTGGATACAAATATTATTGGTCCAGAGGATATGCAAAAATACAATTAGACAACAATTATTGTAGGATCTGGAGACTTCCATAAGTTATGGTCACATGGAAAACCAATTTTAGAATAGCTTGGACTATATGCAATTGTTAATTCTTAAGATGAGAAACCAAAAGTAGTGAAATTAGGAATTTAGAATTTTCCAACTAACATTTCACTATATGTGCATGGATTAGATATTAGAAAACAATAAGATGGGGAATACATTTATGCACTTAATCATGCATATTGGAATGGTGGAGAAAGAATAGAAGTCTTTAAAATCTTAGATGAGCATCTTAATTTAGAATATCAACATTCTATCATTATGGATGATAAATACAATGGAATTTTGAATGATCTAATAGTTATTGAAGATAATAGATATTTAATTACTAAGTATTTACCATACGCAGATCCTAGATAAGGAAGATCTGAAATGGCTCCATCTCATTTTATTAAGACTTTATTTATATGGATAAGTCAATAACGAACTTCTTTTATTATTGATTGTAAATTTGAAAAGAATTCTACTATTATTCAACCAACATGTATAGAATTACTTGATCCTTCCCTTTCAGGAGTAGTTTTAAATGGGATCACTTGGAATTAAAAGAATTTGGTTTGGGCTGCTGACAGTATTGCCAAATAATTGAATGAATATGAAATAACAAATTAAGGTTTAGTATTCAAGAGATATATTGATATTGAAAATTCAATAGATAATTTAGAATATGATTCTGAAAGGAACTCTTTGATTCTTGGACTCATTCCAAAAATGAGTAATTATTTTTCTTTAGATGGATTTTTGAAAGGAGTAGATCGATTGGAAAGATAAACTAAATTTGAATATTATGGAACTGTTGGAGAATATGACTTAACATAAAATAAATTAATATATCTAGCATAAAATACTGAATTATCGAAAGGATTATCAGGAGCCTTAATTAGTGGTAATAATTTATTTGTTGGAAGTTGGTGTGATGTTACAGTAGTCATTTGCAAGAAATAGTGAATTTATTATAAAATATTATCATTATTGGAAATTCAACATTATTTATTAATTCAAATTATCAATTTTATAAAAAATATCTATTAGTTTGTAAAGATACTTATTTGATCAACAGATTATCATTTATAGATTGTATTAAATTTGAATATAAATAAATAAATTTGAAAATATAATAAATTTTTTTATTACATACTTAATTGAATACAATTTCATATTTTTTTTCAATAATATTATAAATTATATACAAGAATCTATTGTAATTGAATATAATATAAGATTTCATATACAATATAATATAAGATTTCACATCCAAGGAATTGGTAATTCATTTGCCAACTCAACAACTTTTTATTTTAGAGGTATTAATTTATCTTAATTTTGAGAAGCCCATAATTTGATGTCAACAGTAACAGGTTAAACCAACTCAACAGATTCTTTTATGATTTAAGCAATCCTAGTGAAATGCTCTTTAGATGCTTATCTAACAGATAATGGAATTGATCTATAATTTCATAATTATAAATACCCAATTCTTAATGCTCTTGGTTGAGTAACTGTATCATATGGAACAAATTATTTATTGCATTATATATTTATTTAACTTAGAATATATTCCATTTTAATTGCATCAACATTAAACTTTCTTAAGTCTAACAAAATTAAATGATTTTCAGTTCCCCCTGCAATCAAATCAAATCCTAATCTTTAAAACTCATCTGCAAAATGTTTATTGTTTTCAACAACATCTTTCTATAGTTATTTATATGATGGAGATAGAGCCTCTTTTAATGCAACAGTAATAGCAGTAATTGTATGAAAATGTGCTCCAGCTACTAATCCTGGGGCAACAGATTCATCTATTCTATTTTTATATTATAATTTATAATAAATTAAACTGCCTCTTGGTCCTCGTAAGCTATTTTAAAAATAGAATTATACGATTTATGAGTAGTAGTCATTACTATATCTGCATAAGGAAATGGAGAAGGAATAACTCCTGCTGACATTAAACCACTTGTATGTGCTATATCAGCCAATAAAATAGCTCCAACTTAATCACAAATATTTCTGAATCTTCCAAAGTTTATTAATTTACTATAGGCTGAACAACCAGCAACAATTAACTTTGGTTTATATGCCTTAGCTAATAATTCAACTTTATCATAATCAATTTCTTAAGTTTTCTATATAAATTATATCATGTTTCTTACTTCATTAAGTTAATAAAATAGGACTTCAAATATTTTGCTTATAGCTGATAACTTCTTTTCTCCTATCTAATATCCATGAGAAAAATGTCCACCTTATTAAAATTCCATACTCATTATTCTATCTTTTGGTTCCAACAAACCTAAAAATATGGCTAAGTTAGCTGATGATCCACTCCCCATTTATGCATTTACACCCCATTATTAAGAGTCTAATTAAAATACTGCTAATGCTCTATCTTAACAAAGTTTCTCCATCTCATCATAATTTTCAACCTATGGGGCATATTTACTACCTTGAGGTCCTTTATAAAATAAATTTAGACATTACCTGGAGCATATCTGGAGCTAAATACACAAGATAATGCTTCAGCTACAGCTCTAGATGTATAATTTTCACTAGGAATTAAATTTATGCTATTTTATTGTAAATCCTTTTCTTTTTCAATCAATTGATAAACTTCAATGTCTTGTTACTAAAGAGTTTGTTTAGAATCTGAATGTAAATCAATCATTATATATTGTATATTGTTGTATTAATTAATTTCCTTAAAAACTGAAGTTTAGATTACATCTTTTATGGCGTATTATGAAATTGAGATATTATAGATTATAGTTTTAAATATTATTTCTTTTTAAATTACTTGATGATTGAACCATTATGATTTAATAAAAAATCCAATCAATATATTTAATTAAATTTGTATACAAAAAATATTTTCAATAAATTTAGATCATTTTACTATAATTTTAAAAAATTAACTTTAATGAATTTACTGCAATCTTTGATGATTTAAAATAAGGAAATTGTTTTGGAATATAATCGATATAATAATTTGTTAGAATATTTTGAATTCATTTATTATTGCACAATTCTAAGTAAAATTA